AAAAAAAAAAAAAAAAAAAACAAGCCCTGTGTAAGAAAAAAACTTTCTCTTCCTCTTCTTTTTATCTTCCAAATCCAACAGTCATTTCCCACCACAGTTACCTTCAATAAAAAATTTTAAATACCCATTTTACTGCCTACTCTCGCGTCGTGTCCCAAGAAGAGCTGCATATGTGAACTGGAGCGCATATTCTCACGTGGAGAAGTCAGGCAGAACTACAGAATATAAAAATAACAAAAAAAAATAAAAAATAATTTTTTTTTGTGGTCACGTATACCTCACATGACCCCATGTGAGTCTGCCCCTGGGTACAACCTACCATGGGCCCAGCACTTTAAGCTCATGTTTGGTTTGAATTAAAATTTCACGTCAATAATTAATTTTAATAACTCATTTCATGGAATCCACGACTGTGTGGGGTAGCGGCTCTGGTGGTTTGAAGTCAGGGTAGGTAAAGAGATTAAGCATTTAAGTTTCTTAATTTTTATTCATTTTGTTATTTCTTTTCTTACTTTTCTTAATCTTTTATTATTATTTTTTTAATAATATCAATTTCAAATGTGATAATATAGAAAGATCACGTGCCTTTCTTTAAATTGGTCAAATTTTAGTTAAGGGATAACTATTGGATCAACTTACGGTGTGTGGTCAGGAAACATTCAAAGGACATCGTTCTACATATTAATTTTAAAAAAAGGCTAAAGAAACAGGGTCGGTGACCGACCCAAAAACAGGGGGCAGAGGGGTTGAATTGCGGGCCATCCATATCAACACTTGAATGGAAGCCACATCAAGCCTCTGTTTTTGAGTCGGTTACCGATCCTGTGTGTATAGCAGAACTCTTAATTTAATGTATAGCAGAACTCTTAATTTAAAGGTTTGGAGACCACAACTGCAAAATTGAAAAGTTTACCCTTATTTTAATATAGTTTTCAATTATATCACGTAAAACATACATATATTAATTTATCTGAATAATTCGACCGTCTAGAATTAAAATGAGCCAGTGAATTATAAAATAATCTGTGGTCCTTGATATTATCAAATGAGTTCAAATTATAGCATGAAATAACGTGGCACGTGCATCTCGCTTTCAAACCAATGGCATCTTCTCATTTCATTTATTAAATTGGTCCGTGCAAGTAAAATGCGAAACTAGTTTCTTTATCATAACACCACGCGATTTAAAAGTCGTTGTGTATCAAGCAACACAATGTATTGGCTTAATCAATTGAATATCAACTCAAATTATTGATGAAATTAAGAGTGGATGTGGTCATGTTCGATCTTCTTCTGATCCTCGTATAGTCAAGAAATTAACATCGACTCTACGATAACTAGTTTTAGGACAATTCCTTTTGTACCGAAAATGTTACACCCTCTCACATCTGCGCGGGGCCCACATAAATAAAAAATTCTCAAATGTGTGGTTCTCACACCTTATTGTGAGTGTAGGTAAAAGATTAGGTAAAAAAATGGATGTACATGTAGCATTGTCCGACAATCTTTGGTAAAACCCTAGAAAATAACTCAAAAAAGAGGCCGCAAAAAAATGAAATTTGAGGAAGCTTATAAGGAAGTCATTAGCCAGAAATAAGTTAAAGGAAACAGGAAAATAGACTTATTGTCTATAATTTGGTCGCCCGTTTTAGTTGAAACTTTATTTAAGCTTATCAAAATCAAGAAAGATATGGCATGCAAGTGTGCCTCGCGCCTAAATATAGTGTGTTACATCAAGAATTGTCACAATCACTTAGCAAACAAAACAACATTTCCACTCACGCCTAATGACTTACAAGCAATAGACATAGTCCACACGCTTTCTCAAGTTTCACTATTTTTGGGTAATCGTACCAAGTTAAACATTCACGGTACACCAAGACAATCGTGATTTTTTTTTCTTTACCAAAAGCACGTGAATTTATAACATTGTTGGACCATGGTCCCCATAATTAGTCAAGATCAAGAGTTTTCATCTCGAAATCAAAAGGCCAATATCAATCATCGTGACGAAGGGACCACAACTCAATATGCGTTCCGTAACAAAAATCTCAAATTGACTAGATATAAGAATGGTCATCAAGCTATCCCATCTATGAGCATTTTCAAGAGACTCTATTTTTAAATATCATATTCTATTATTTGGAGAATATCTATAAATTAGAGAGTTAAAATTTTAAAATACTCCAATAAGTTTTTTTTTATTTAACACTTAATTTTATGTTTAGGGATATTACACCGATAATGTGCATAAATTATATTATCAAAATGTATCTATTACGTGCGCAGAGTAGAATATAGTTTCGACATACCAAAATAGGATTCGAGAAGGCAGAATGATAATTACTGAAACCAAGTACGTGATGACAGATTTAATCATATCCATTCTTCAACAATTTTTTTTTTCCTATAATCAAAAGAATAGTTAGTTTTTCTTAAATCAAATCTCAAATTCAATAGAACGGAAAAAACACTGCATCAGAGAAGGTAGCTTCTGGCCTTGAACCTCCCTTAGTGAAATACTATCGGACTTACTGGCTAATTGGTGAACGTGATGTCTTGAACCATTCACCCTTTGGTGTAAACTAAGACAATAATACTCATACAGATGTCCTGCTTAAATCGTTCATGGTTATCATGACTTGATTCATTTTGTTCCTGAATCATTCTTGAGTTTCATAAGTGTTTAGAAAATTTCAGTTTTTGAACAATTTTCATTGAGACGGTCCCACCTCACACTTATATAGGTGACCTCATATTAAGAGTATTCTGCCATACTTCACTTAACTTGATCAAGATATATGAATCATTAAAATGATATTTTAACTTTAACATTCTGCAGAAAGCATTTTGATTATCATATTAATAAGTTAGGAAATATTTTTCCAAGTGCTTCATTAAATCTTTATAACTTAGTAGTCCCCTTTAACCAAGATCTTGCTTTCTCAAGTTTCACCATTTTGGGTAAGCGTACTAAGTTAAACATGGTACACCAAGAAAATTGTAATTTTTTTCTTTACCTTTAAAAAGCAAGTGAATTTATAACATTGTTGGACCATGGTCCCCATAATTAGTCAAGATCAAGAGTTTTTATCTCGGAATCAAAAGGCCAATATCAATCATCAAAACTAAGGGGCCACAACTCAATACGCGTACCGTAACAAAAATCTCAAATTTACAAGAGAAGAGAATGGCCATCAAGCTATCCCATCTAAGAGTATCTCCAAGAGACTCAGTTGTTAAATATCATATTCTATTATTTGAAGAATATCTATAAATTTAGAGAGTTAAAATTTTGAAGTATTTGAATAAGTTTTTATATTTAACACTTAATTTTACTACTCCTAAAAAATATTTATGATTTTTCTTTATCTTTTATTTTAACTAACTTTTCTTTAAATTATTTTATTATTTCATACATTTAAAATTAAAACACTTTGAATGTATTTAATTATAAAGAGTGCGTTTGGGTCTCCAAATTTGGAAAGTCAAACACATTCTCTAAATTAAAATGTTAATTTAAAGAGTTTTTTGTAATATGATTTTAAATGTTGATTTTTTAAAATAGAGAGTATCTCATGTTTAAATACTCTCTTAGAGATGTTCTTAGATCAATGTCTCATCCATGTGATGTTGAATAATAAAACATGTCTCTATTTACGCCTTCCTCATCTGCATCCTTCTCCTCAACAAAAAAAAGGGGAATGGTGAACCTGCGACCAGATTTATTTGGTATGGAGCAATCACTTTGGAGGATGATCTCTTGTGCGCAGAAATGCACTGTTTGTGAGGGGGACCTAGGAACCAGTTGAATTATATCCCTCGATTTACCTCCTCCAAGGTTGACGACCTAAATTACAGTAATACTGCATCACATTTTACAAACAATGTCTATTTCACTACGATGGTCACGCAAGGATGTTGACCAACGAGACATTTAAAACAGCAATACTTTTACAAATGAGGAATGAGGTTGTCTGNTCAATTCTCAATTTCAACCACACATTCTTCAATAAAATAATATTTTCTATCACATCAATAATCTTATCTTCTTTTTCAACCACACATTTCCCATCATATCACTATTCAAAATCAATTATTCCCCCAAAAAATCCCTACCAAACACACACTAAGGGTGTGTTTGAATCTAATTTTGAGGAGAATAGAAATTTTGGAATAGTGATTGATGTGAGAATGTGTGGTAGAAAAGTGTTGAAAAGTTTTTGATTTGTGCGTAATATTATTTTATTTGGAGAATGTGTGGTTGAAATGAAGAATGAGAATGATAATGAGAATGAGAAATTAATGGGTGCCAAACGGGGGCTAAACAAAAGTTTTAAACATCATTTACACATTCAAACTGTTTCCTTGACTTTTGCAGCAATGAGCTACTGTTATCAACCCTCCTAGAAAATTCATCGAACAAGTTCGATGTGAAGCTTATCGAAAAACCGAAAAATTAACCACTCAAAATTAAAATTCTAAATGGCATATCGGGAAGACGAAGATGTAGTAACACTACATTGTGAGTACTCCTAAGGAGTGAGAGGGAATTAGTTTTTTATATCTTTAAGGGCATCAATGGATTTAACCCCCTCGACGAAGGCTCGAACCCAAGTCAACAGCCTGGTAAGGTTTCGCTCTTACCAGTTGAGTTAGGACTTGAGCCTAGCAGAGGATTTAGTTTGTGGAAAGTTTAGATGAAGAACATCAAATCTGCAAGGATCATCATCAACAATTTTGGAACGATGTGCATCGGTAATCGGAAACTAAAATCATCTTATAATGAAGGTATTGAACAAGACAAACTAAAACAAAATTAACAAATTTCAGAATAATAACACTGGCAAAACCAGTTAAACTTGTAAATTCAATGTAACTTGCATATAAACATCCTTATGACAGATCATGTATACTATAAACAAACAGAAAATCGATATACTGCTCGGTCAAAAGATAGTGCTTTTCCTAGTCCGAGCATCAACTGATGTATATCAAAATTTCTGCAGACGCTTTTCATATTTTCACTCCGCATTGAGCCTAGTAACTATGTCGAATGCAATACTATTATGATACTATCAGCCAATTGATGATACAGGAGTCGCTAAGGAATTAGATTCACGGGTAAATACTTGTAGCAACTTTTCCTTAGTTAGCTGCTCGGATCCTTGCGACTTCACAACAAATGTGTGAAACACTGTATCCGTCCCTGTGGCGATCTTTGACTCTAGAACAGTTACTCGTGCATCATGGAATGCTTGGATAACCCTTGATAAAGGATGTGCATCCAGTGGACAGACTACCCTCACAATGACTTGGTCATGGACAGTTTGGACGTCGATTTTAAGAACTCGGTTTTGTAATTCTGAATTTGGTTGAGATACTGAGGTTGATGCATTTCTCGAAATGCTGTCATGTTTTCCTACGTCAGACTCCATGTCCTTCACCTTCTTTTGAAGCTGGGTAATGTAAGTAATTGCATCCCCCAAGAGCGAGGCTTTATCCATCTTGGAAATATTTGGAACAACTGCTCGTAATGCACAGAACTGACGGTTCAGCTTCTCTCTTCGCTGCCTCTCTGCCTCTACATGGTTGAGGGGCTCGTCTCTTCCGTTGGCTGGCTTGCGTCCACGCTTTCGAGGCCTCTTCTCATCAAAAAGTCTTGTACGGTCATCTTTGCAAGAAGCTTCAACATCTGAATGCTCAGACTCAATGTTGTGTGGTCTCGAAATAATAGACCTTGAAGTCCCCCCGGTAAAATCAAACTGCATTGGTCCCAGCTTCTGATTCTGAGTACTGTTAAGCTGAACTCCTTCCCTCGACTCCTGATTTTGAAAATTGTTAAGTTGAAATTCTTCCCTTGACCCATTGACCTTCTGGTGTAGAGTTTTGGCTGTGTTCTGGAGAGTGGCAAGTTCTAATGCGTTTCCTGGTTTTTCATTCCTGTTTTGCATCCATGTTGCCCTGTGAATCCCATCCTTTACGAAAGGCAACCTGGTTCCATTTGCAAGCTCGTAACAAGGTCTGTCCTCCACTTTCTGAACCTCTAATTTTTCTCTGTAACCAGCACCATTTGAATTCAGATCCTGCCCAAAAATCTTGGGGATTACTTTTGGCCAGTTTCCAATTACCAATTCAGAATTGTGACCATTTTCATCCCTTTTATCTGTTAGAACCATCAAGCTCTCGATTTGCTCACCCCTATTACGTGCTGAAAATGATGAAAAGGAAGATCCTATCACTTGCAAGGGCTTCAAGTTCTCCGGGATGGATCTAACTGATCCCAACTCCACAACTCCAACATCAGTAGGAATCAAGACAATCGTTTGCATGTAAGCTGACCTCGAAAGGAATGATCTAACACAATAATCCTGAGATGAATTCAATGCATCCGATAACCAAACGTGCTTCCCGGATTGAAAACACTTTCCGGGACCACCTTCTCCCCTAGGGAAGGAAAAGTACATCGAGGCTAGGAAGAACATCTCAGTATCAGTAACCTTATCTAATCCAAAAGCGTAACTATCCTCATCTGTTCCCCCAAAAAGTGTGTGCAACTTCTGAAGCACCCTTTTCCTCATCCTCTGTTGTGTCTCGTCCTCGGCTCTCATATTTCGAATTCTTCTACCTTCAGACTCCTCATCATCGTAAGGCTCCCGGCAGCACCCGTCTCCCCATCCAAGAACCAAATCACCGCTAGACTTGGACCGCGAAAGTTGCCAGAAAATCGCATAATTCCAACTAAAATTGGCTGTGTTTGGGGTTTCCACAAGATCTGAAAGCTTATCGTGCAAATTCTCATCATTTCCCATTGCTATTAATGAACATTCAGCCGGAACCGAACTGGAAATCAAGTAATCAAAAGCCTTAATTCCTAAAACCGCCACCGCCATGGTTTTATCCCCATCATCCCACCCAATACCCGCCTCTAGTTTCATCTTTTAACACCCACCCGCTAACAAAGAATCTTCAGTATGATCCAATATTAAAAAAAGGGTAAAACACAATATTATTCAAATCATAAACATGCAAACATGATTTCTATAACCCAATCCAACCCAGTCTTACACCTCCAGTTTCAGATCTCACAGGACTCAAATCAAAACAAACATGCTTCTTTTTTCTCGGGAAGAACAAACACACCTAATTGTTGTGAAGGAGTCAGGAATTTCTCGGGAAAGATACAATAAATTCTATTGAAAATGTCTTCTTTTTTCAACGAAAACAAGCTTCTTTTTTCTTGTCTTCTTTTCTATCTGTTTTCAAGAATGGAGAAGAAAACAGAGTAGAGGGTTGTGTGGATTTATGCTTCTCAAATTCCCAGTTGCTTGCATGTATGAAAAGTATGGTTACTGATTTAAAGTTTCAAAATGTAATCTTGGTTAAGTTGAAGGAAATAAAAGTTCAATATAATTTCTTCTTCCTTTTTTTTTTTTTTTTTTTTTTATTGGTGTTTTATCATTTTTTTTTTGAATTTTTATCACTTTTTTAAAGTTCAATATAATTTCTTCTTCCTTTTTTTTTTTTTTTTGTTTTTTTGTATTTTTCATCATTAATTCTAAGATTTGTATTAGAAATTACAGCCCCTTATCCCTAGACTGTAGGATGAAAAATAGGAAATTTGAAGTATATGTAAATTAGAAGAATACTTATTTTTTCAATTATTATTTTAAAAAGTATTCTTTCTTGTATAAAATATCTAAAATAATCGTATTAAAAAGTTTTGTTATTAGAGTACTCGAGCAATCGAATCTCAATATTAAATTCAAATGAATTGCATCTCGGTCAAACGATTCTATACGAGTTCAACCACTTTCAATTGAATAAGATGAAAATATCAATTTATAAATAAATATTTAAGAATATGTAAAAACTATAGCAATATTTTATAAATTTGAGGAAGGAGAAATTAGAAGAAAACTCTCTGCTATTTATCACGTGGAAATCATTTCTAGAAAAACATGTTTACAATTATTTTTATTAATATCTATCATAAAGTTGTTTAATAATACTAAATAAATATAAATTTACTTTCTTTTCAACTTTAAAAAAAAAAATGCACAAATGGTCCGTACTATAAGAGTGACGTGAACAAATTCATTTAATCTTCTTGATTAGGAACCTTTTTCTTTCTTAAATCATTAAGTTAAATGGAAATTCTAGGTTGAATAATCCTAGGTACGAGAACTCGATGAAAGTGTGAATAGATCAATAAAACTAGCTTCAATTTGGACAACATGGGGCCTTTCTTGAGTAAGAAATTTCAAGATTCCAATGTCATTAATCATGTGGGCTCAATAATTAACCTAAAAATCTTTCGTATGATAGATACTCTTGGTATAAAAAATGGGTCCCACGTGCGTTCCCAAAAAATATTTATTAAACATATTATTAAGATTTTAGGTTCAACGATGTGTTGTCACATGATAAAAGTGATACATTTAGGATGACTGAATATAATTATGTGAAATGCTACATGTCTAGAATTTTTTTACAATTTTTTTGACAAATTGTCAGTTGACAAGCATTCATTGAATGTTGAACACAGAGCGAATTTAAATTATTCTATGTTGCATTTCCACATCAACATCTATAATGCATTCTGTAATTTTCATCTGTAAAAATAATTTTATCCTATAATTATTATTTCATCGGTACATTTAGTTATAAGTATAAAATAAATAATATTTTTGAATAATTTATAAGTTTTGAAGGTGTAATAGGAGAAGCATGAGCCACGAAGCCATCATGTAGGTTGGTTGTCATCACGTGCACTTAGGCACGTGCAATTTAGTCTACTTTTCCTATTCACACGTTCCAACACAATCCAACCTCAAAATTTTGGAGTATACACGTTAGTCAAAAGTAGTAACAGAGGAAATGTAATCACATGAATCGCACCTGTATCACGACCAATGCCTGCTCCTCACGTGGTGGATATTGCCTAATTTGACTTTATCAATCGTCACAAAAAAACTAACTGATAAAAGACCTTTTTTTAAAGGACAACTTACAAAAATAAACTTGGCCCAGGTTTGATTCACATTCTTAAAAAATACATTTTTTTTCTATTCATTTTCGACCACACATTCATTAATAAAATAATATTATACGTAAATTCAAAAATTTTTCTTATTTTTTAACCACATATTTTCCATCACATCACTTGAAAAAAAATATTCTTTTCTCCACAATGTGTATCAAACACAGCTTAAGTAGGGATGACAACGGAGCGGGTATGGGACGGGTCCACCATTCCCACTCCCGTCCCATCGGGTATTTTTATTACCTTACCCCACCCCTATACCAAGTTAAAGTGGGACGGGACGGGACGGGTTCGGGGCGGGATCAAAGTCAGGTGGGGCGGGGCAAGTCCCATGCCTCATTTATCGTCCCATTTATTTTTTATTTTTATATCTTTAATTAGTAAATATTATTAATCTTTAACTAATTTGTTAAAAATAACTTATGTTCCCTTTAAAAATGATGATAAATCTATTATTTTTGTTTGATAAAAAATTTAAATTTGAAATTAACTTTAAACGAGGCGGATAGAGGACGGGGACTATGTTTCTCGTACCCGTCCCATATCTGCTTCGGGGCAATGACCCTTGTCCCGTCCCCACCTCGTTTACCCGGTTAGGTGGGTAATCTCCATCCCATTCGGGGTGGGGTCCACGAGTATCAGGTTGAACGAGTTTTGTTGCCATCCCTAAGCCTAAGCCTCTATTTGAGCCACAATATTTTTTCATTCTTATTATTCTATTCATTCTCAATCACACATTTTTCAATAAAATAATATTTCCTATCACATCAATAATTTTTCCTTCTTTTTCAATCACTTATTCCCCATCACATCAACAGTAAAAATACATTTTTACTCTCAAAATGTGTACCAAACGAGTGCTAAAATTAGAGATCTCATAATAAATCATATGCTTGCAGGGAATAAAATGCACTATTTCCACGTGGATGATAAAATAAATAAAAATTTCCTCTTCTTATGTATTGTTTCTAATAAAAAATTGCAGATCTGTTTCTTTTTCTTTGTTATGCAAATAATTCTTATAGTGGACTAATTTATTGATGAAGACAATTAACATTGACAAATCGAAACAGTATCGGCCCATGGCAAAAAATTTGTGGCCCAATGTCCTTTTTATTTTCGTTTTAAATGCGGACTCAATCTTTTTATAATGTAGCTCAACTAATTTTATGAAGTCCATTATTTCAAGGGAAAGTCAGAACACGTGCTTCCGCCTTCTTTAAAAGTGCTTATTTTGGCACTACTGATGGGTACAAAATTGTGTACACATGACAAGATTTAGGCCATTAATTGCAAAAACTATTTTTGAAATTAATGACTTAAATCTTGTCACGCTCATTTTGTAACCCAATTGTGTACACAACATTTTTCTTGTTTTAGAATTCCATGAGGTAGCATCAATGTGTATATAAAATGGTACTAGTAGTAAATTTTATGGGTTTTTTTATACGCCGTGGGGCTGTCATAATCTGAATCTTACATTACGTAATACGGTGAACTCTTGCATAAGGATTTTATTTTATTTTATTTTTGTTGCTTATACACATTTGATGAACTTATAGATGTTCTACAAACATTTGAACTTATTGCGCTGGACCCACCCTTCATGTGGGAGGTTGTAAGGCTTCTGTAAATTTTTTCTTCTATACAAATGGTAATTTCCTTTTTTAAAACACTATGTGGTTGTCATATGCAATATGTCACGTGGCAATCTCTTGTGTAAAGACTAAATCTTTTTTTTTTTTTTTTTGATAATGCTTGTACATATTGTTTTTATCTTCGGCAAAGTGATAGAAAGTTTTTAAAAATAAATTGGAAGGTCTAACATTTAAATCCGCATTTAAAGTTTGTTTGAGCAACATTTTTTTTTTGTCAAAAATATATTTTCGAATAATATTTTAATGGAGAGTGAATTAAGGAAAAACTTTGGATTTACATGTATATTATTTTATTAAAAAATGTGTGGCTGAAAATAAGAGAGAAAAATATATTTTGGAAGTAATGGGGACCAAACAAGGACTTAATGAAAAAATTATTGACGACTGTCTAGTTGTTGCTCGCCAGTCCCTGACTTGGCGCTCGAGCAACGATCGACGTTCAGAAATTTGTTTTGCTTCAAACACTTGGTTTTTCAATCCCTTTTCATCATGAACATTTTTCCTATATATATCATACTCTATGAATGTCTAAAAGTGTGTTAAATTAGACTTATTCCATAGAGATTAATTCATTGATATTCCAAAACATTCATTAATTCCAAGCTTCAACAATCACATATTACTTGATCCATAAATTATTCTAAAATATATTTTGTTGCTCAAGCTATATTTTTTCATATAAACCTACAGGATCAAAACACATAAGATCTTTTGATCAAACACCAAATTCGGGAGCTGTTGTAGAAGCAAAAATTAGGAGGACTAATGTGAAGTTCCAGGAGTCAAGATCTGGTGTCAAAAGCACGTAGTCCAGGAGGTTAAGTTATAAATCAGGACTCGAGATTTGTTTTGAAGGAGCATACCTCTAGCAGGATCAATAGAAACTACAGAAATTGAGGTCGGAAGCTCTATGGATAGACGGGTCTGGACTGTAAGTTTGTTTCGATTTATAGTGGATTATTGACTGCAAAAAGTGTTCAAAGTTTTTACTCAATTGGAGTTTCTTTGTGATCATCTTCGATATTTTTTACTGTTTTAATTATTGATTGTGGTATTCAAATTTAGTATAAATTGACTTGTTTGATCTAACCATCTAAAAATAATTTAAAAGTGACTCGTTGCTTTTAATTGTGTAATTCCGCATGTGGGTCTAAATAATTTAAAACTTTCAAGTGATATCAGAGCTTAATAATGATCCTTGACCCAATTTTTTTCTAGATGAGTCAATCAATTT